AATACTTCATGTAAGGACTTAGAACTACCCGGTGCATATCAGCCCCCCTTGGATGGTAGCTGTTGCTGTTGTTATTACCATTTTTTATCCCATTCATTCATGCAACATGGGGCTAAGAACTATTGTAGGAATTTTGATATGTCTTTTTAGAACCCATAAGGACTTTATGGAGAAAATAATTCCAGCCCATTTTCTAGGTGAAGCTGTAGGAGATTAGAGGCTGGGGTTGCCATGGTCGTCATTTGTTGATAGAGGGTAGATGCCAGATTCCAACGGTGGAGGCTTAACCCTTGATTCCTGTCTCTTTGTGCCCCTTGTTGGTATGGATTTGCCTGGGAAGCCATAACAAAGCACCCCAGACTGGGAGGCTTCACCAACAGAAATGTATTTCTCACAGTTCTTGAAGGCTGGGAATTCAGGATGAGGCTGTCAGCAGGGCTGTCCTTCGTGGCCTGTAGGCACCAGCCTCTTGCTTTTTCCTCTGTGCACTTGGTGCTCTGGGTTCCTCTCCGCACCCTAATCTCATTTGCTTATCAAGACATCAGTCAGATCTCCTTAGGGTCCACCCTAAGCCTCATTTTAACTTCCCATGTTTTAAAAGACTTTATCTCAGAACAGCAGTATTTTGAGGTATTGGGAGCTAGACCCTCAAAATATGAATGTTAGAGAAACGCAGTCAAGCCCTGACATTGTGAATTTGATACTTAGACATCAAAATGGACTCCATTGAGAGCTATATTCAACACTCTTACTGGATTCTAATAGTTCTCAGTACTTTTTCATCTTTATGCTCTTGACTTAGACATAAGGTTTTGTTTCTGAATTTTCTTATCTCTGACTCCCCATACATAATTGCTCAGTCTGGTTTTAATTCATCTTAACCTTGGACTGTTTTCAGGGACCTAGGTCCTGTGATCATTCCTCTGCTGTATTTTCACCTCAAGGGCTCCTATCACCTTCACAGCTATTAGTTCAGTTCAACTGCAGAAAAATAATCTAAATATCCTTTTGAATTTGATCTCTGTTTCTGAATGTTAAAATTTAGAATGTCCTTATTCTCCTTGAGCTGTTAACAGGTAAACTTACACCTGGACTTGGGTGTGGATTTTATTACAGCTGAAAGTTCTTGTAAAGATGTTCAGTTCACAGAGGCTAACATGGAAGTCCATACCACTCTCTTTAGAGACATATATTGCATTTAAATTTTGATTGATATTTATTAATGACATATTAATACGATTAATTCCATTTTATTGAGGCTCAGTCTGATATTAGAACACATGATGTACATGGTATATGTTGATCAAACCAGAGGAATGAGACTTCCTATCTTCTTATCATTCCTTTGTGCGTGAAATTACCCTCGTTTGGATATTCAGGAAATGTGTAATAGATAATAGTGAACATAGACATCCCACTGTGCTGCTGAACACCAGGACTTCTCTGTAACTGGGTTGTGGTATTCTTTATACAAGCTCACTTAATTCTCCCCCCAGCCTACCCAGCCTCTGGTCAGAACTGTTCTACATCCGATTCAGCTATTTTTAGCTTCCATGTAGGAGACAGAACATGCAGTATTTGTCTTTCTGTGTTTGATTCATTTCACTGAATGCATTGTCCTCCAGTTCCGTCCATTTTGCTGCAAATGATGGGCTCCATCCTGCCTGGCTCAGCACCGTTCCATCGTGCCATCTTCTGCATTTTCTCTATCCATCCATCTCTTCATGGCACCTAGGTTGAGTACCTATCTTCGCAATTGTGAATGGCATTACAGTAAACACAGAATTTCAAGCCCCTCTTCAGCACGCTGAACTAACTTCCTTTGGCTATATACCCAGACATGGAATGGTTGGGTCATAGGGTAGGATCACTTTCTTTTTATTGTTAAGGTTTTGAATTCCTTATAAATTCTGGATGATAATCTTTTGTGAGGTGATAATTGGCAAATGTTTTCTACTATTCTATAGATTGTCTATTGCTTCTTTTGCTATGCAGAAGCTTTTTAGTTTTATGTAATCTCGTTTGTCTCTTTCTCTCTCTCTTTTTTTTGGTACCAGGGATCAAACTCAGGCCTTATGCTTGCAAGGCAGTCGGAGGAGCCACTGAACTAAATCCCCGGCCCTTGTTTTTCTCTTTTTGCTTTTGTTTCTTGTGCTTTTGAGGTCATATCCAAAAATTCATTGTTTTTACTGATATCTTGAAATGTTTTCCCTATATTACCTTTGAGTAGTTTTAGAGTTTCTCATCTTACATTTAGGTGTTTGATTTATTTTGAACTGATTTTTGTACAGGGTGAAAGAAAGGACTGAGTTTCAGTCTTTTGTGTACAAATATTCCATTTTTCTCTGCACTATTGGTTAAGTAGGCTGTCTTTTCTCCACTGTGTGTTTTTAGCACCTTTGTTAGACTCAGTTGGCTGTAATTGTATGAGTTTATTTTGGGAGTCTTTGTTCTGTGGGATTATGTATTGGTTTTTATGCATGTGGTATGCTGTTATGGTTACTATAGCTCTGTAGGTGTCTTAAAATTAGGAATTGTGATGCCTCCGGCTTTGTTCTTTAGGTTCCAGATTGTTTTGATTGTCTGGAAATTTTTGTATTTTCATATACATTTTAGACATTTTTTTCTTAGTTCTATGAAGACAGTTACTGCTATTTTGATGGCCATAGCATTGAGTCTGTGTATCATTTTAGGTTGTATGAGCATTTTAACAATATTAATTCTTCCAATTCATGAATGTGGGAGATTTTTCCTTTGTGTGTGTGTGTCTTCTTCAGTTTTTCTCATTGATGTTTTATAATTTTCCATCACAGAGCTCTTTCTGTTCCCGGGTTAAATTTATCCTAGCTTTATTTCTTTATTTTTGTCAGGGTAGCTATTGTGGATGGGATTGTTTTCATGCTTGCTTTCTTAGCAAGTTTGTTATTGCTGCATAAAATGCTACTGGCTTTTGTGTGTTGATTTGTATCCTGCAACTTTGCTGAATCTATCAGTTCTAATAGTCCAGTGCAAAATCCACATCCCTCCTTTTTTCCCTCAATTTATGAGATAAAAATCTCGAGACTTTCTCTGAGTGCAAGTTGTGAGTTGACTTGGTCAATTCATTTCCAAAGCTTATTTTTTCAGATTAAGAGAAAGAGATTTAATTATTTTTGTCACACTCATGTGCAAATTGGACTTTTTATGTCTCAGAGGGCTATACTCCATTTTCTAAATGCAGGTAAAAATAACTGATTCTGTTTCATTCTAAAATTAAGAGATTTGAAATATTCAGTCCTGTTTTTAAAAAGTGACAGGTAGTGATGGTCGTAACGTACAGTGCTGTCATGTGCAGAAGCATTTAAATACTTCTTTTCAATTAGAGAGAAATGGAACACATCTCATGAAGCATGTGGTTATACCCACTCTGAGCTGCCAAGAGTCTCTTTGGAGAATTCAAGTACTATTGAAACTGGCTGTATGTTACATTTAAGTATAATTTCTAAAATTTAAAAGCTACCAGGAACTTTATAAAATGTTGAATGTTGCTGGAATTTTTTGGATTCTTCCATTTATACATGGAGTGATATCAAATTGATTATGGTAAGTTACGAATGGTGCTTCAGATGATTAAATCTGGGCACTGTTTTCGCTTGTTTTTTATACTTGCTATCTCCTTAACCGTACCTATAAAATTGTCAGTCTTGTTAAGGAGCTCTGTGTGAAGATTAGTAAACAGAAACTTAAGTGAAGGGAAGAAAAGTGAAGTGGAATATCAAAATACAAAGTGTACATGAGTAAAATTATTTAACTTTTCTATCTAAAATTGAAGTAATCTTCATTTGATTTTCCAAGTACTCTTTAAGTGTTGAAGAGAGTATAGACTTTACCAAAACATTGTAAAATGCACATATCTACATATATGTTTAAATATACTTATACTTTAATTTAAGAAATACTGAATCAGACACTCAGAATAAAAATCACAATATACATAATAAAATACAATAAAAATTAAAACAATAAAAATCACCTACACAAAAACCACATGTAAGATTTAAGAATTTAGCTGCTTATAATTTTACATAATATAAAATGATTCATTCCAGGTGTACCATTTCTATAGCATGCACTTCGTCCTTTCAAGGTCTACAATTTGATGTTTTTTAGTAAATATTTAGACTCCTGTGACCATCATCACAGTCCGACTTTGGAACATTTCCTTCCACCCCATCAGCTGCTCCTGTCTGTCGCACTCACTTGACCTTTCTTTCCACCCACGGGCGACTTCTCACCCGTTTTGTGTATGTTCAGGTTTTCTTCCCCAGACTTTTCTTACAAGTGGAATTGTACAGTATGCAGTGTGTGTGTGTGTGTGTGTGTGTGTCTGGCTTCTCTCCTAGCACAATACTTTGAGATGCTTTGTGTTGTAGCAGGTGTCGGTGCTTTCTATTCACACACAATATTTTCATTTATCCATTACAAGAACCAATTTTAAATATATATATACATTTATATTGAGGAAACTGAGAAGAGAGCAAAGGCATAAGGATAGAAGAGTTATTATTTCCACTTTTATATGGTTTTAATTTTTAAATTTCAAAATATATCTTATAAACAAAATAATGAATATAAAATAAGAGCAAAAAGCCCTCTACTGACCTAAATCCCATATTCTTTTACATAATTGCCATCAATTTATTTTTTGCATCTGTTTAGATTATATATTTGCACATGTACATATAAATGTTTACCTGCACACACACACACATCTAAACTGTCATACATTTTATGATTTAAAAAAATGGAATCATAAGGCTTAATATCTTAGCATATGCTTACCAACACTGAGAAAAACATTCTTACTGACCTTGTTGAGTTTTGACATCTCTGAAAACTATGGTAGATTAATTTATCTATCTTTTTGCAATGGAGAAAAGTTAAGATTGGTGGGCCACTCTCTTCACAACTATTTTAGCAAATGTCTTAATGTTTTAAAGCCCCTCTCTGTCTTCTTCCAGGATACTTTGGATCTGCTTGCGAGGAGAAGGTGGACCCCTGTGCCTCGTCACCGTGCCAGAACAATGGCACCTGCTACGTGGATGGAGTGCATTTCACCTGCAGCTGCAGCCCGGGCTTCACGGGGCCCACCTGTGCCGACCTCGTGGACTTCTGTGCTCTCAGCCCGTGTGCTCATGGCACTTGCCGCAGCGTGGGCACCAGCTACAAATGCCTCTGTGACCCAGGTCAGTACTGCCTGGAGACTGCGTGCTTTTCTTCCTCCAGTCTCAAATGACTGCTCGTTTTTCTTTTGCATCTGGGCAAATGTCAGTGCACAGGGTGTGGTATACTTGTAGAGAATGAATTCCACTTGTTTGTAATGCACTTTATCTTTAGAATTACTCTTTGAAGGGCTTAAAAATACCTTTTCCCTTTTACATGAGCAGTCCATATTCATGGTAGAAAAATTTGAAAATACAAAATGGCAAAACGGAGAGAATCACAACAGGCTCAATCTTATAACAGGGTAATTATTTTTAGCAATTTTCTATAGGTCATTCAGAGTGTATGCTGTGTGGAATCTTTTACTGTTGTGTGCTTAAGTTAATGCAATAGCCTTTTCCATTTTAATGTACATGAAAAGCACAATGCATTTCATTTATAATTGTGTCATCTATTAAAATCCTTACTTTGGGCACAATATGTTACTCTCCTGACTTCCTGTATAAACATTCAAGAGCTCCATCATTTATTTTCCAGATGTCTGCTGCATTCATAATACTGATTTTTAATTATGGAACTTTTGCTACCCAGAAATCAGTGTGATTACTAGTAACAGTTTGTGTCTTCCTAGTATGTTGGTGCACAGAAAGCCCCTTTGTTCCTCTCATTTATTTTCCGCCCACATCTCCATCCTTGCAAGGGATGGCTGTTTAGGACGCTTCCCAGCACAGGTGCCCACACATGGCCACAAGTCGGCGGCAGGGCTGGCCAGTATCTAGTTTTGCTTGACCCCTGGCTCTCCATCAAACCATCTTACCTAGCACACTTCTGAGGCTCAGCTTCTGAGTACCCAGAGTAACCCACAACATCACCTTCGTAATCTTTACAACATTATATAGCTGTGCACTGAAAATGGTGTTTTGGTCCATAACAGACCACAGTGATCCCACAAGAATATTCAGGCCCTCGACCTCCTAGCTGTTTAGCTTGTGCAAAACATGCTACAATATTTGTACAACCACAAAATCTCCCAACAATGCACAGGTTGTATCTCCATCCTTAAGAGTCATGTGACTGTATTAATTATTCTGGTAGATGTCTCTTTCTCTCCCTCCAAGGTGGGAGAAAATGTGTTATTAAAATGGCTTTGTATTGACAAATAACTCTAAGCCACCACTGAGTGACCAATCATCTTTCTGGGTTCTGAGCTGGAAGCATCACAGCTCCACTTCTTTCAGGACCAAATTTATGCTGCAGCTTGAAATGCCTCTGGGGTTTCAGTCCCATACCTGTCACCACAGCCCAAGTCATGGGCTGAGCTTAGATTCCAGCTCAAGTGCTCCTGGTGGTTGTGGCCTCAGTGCCTGGCTCAGAATGTCCAAAGGGCTCATCTCAGACACACCAATCAGTGAAAGGAGTTAGCGGGAAATACAAGTAAGCATTTGAAGCATGTTGAAAAGCCTTTTTCACATAGACTCTTAATTCTCTGATTTTCTAAGCAATTGATACTTTGCCAAGTTTCTCTCTCCTTTCTTGTCTGAAATACAGAGGAGAGGCTGTTTAAGCTGCTTAGTAATATCGTTAGGATTCTCCAGAGAGAGGGGGTGGGAGGAGAAGGGAAGAGGGAAAGGGAGGCGGAGGGAGAGGGAGTGAGAAAGAGGTGGGTGGGGGGATTTTTAAGTAACTGGCTTGTGCAGTTGGAGGGACTGGCAAGTCCACCTTCCATGGGGGAAGCTGGCAGGCTGGGAACACAGGCAGGGTTTCTGTGTTGCATATTGAGGCTAAATTCCTTCTTTGCAAAACCTCAGCCCTTTTCTCCGATGGTCTTCAAGGGATTGGATGAAGCCCATCCCTCTGCAGCCCTCTGCTGCGCTGAAAGTCTGCAGATTTAAATGTTAATCTCATCTAAAAAAATACCCTCATGGCAACATTTACACTAGTATATGAGCAAATATCTGGGTTCTGTAGCCGGGCCACGTTGACTCATGAAAGTCACTTTCACAGTAACACTTTTGGTTTCCTCACTGTGCTTAGAGTGAAGACAGTTCTTCAAGTCTGTGATTGTCATGAGGGCACTTTTCTGGGTTTGCACCACCTTCTTCTGCCTCGTGGGGGTAGGAGTAGCTGTCCCAAAGGGCCCCATTTTTGTCTGCCTGGATGTTGGTGAAGGAGGCAGCTCAGGGCTCTGCCCTTCCCTGCTGGGAACACAGATAGCCAGGACAGTTTTGTGTTTGCTAAGCAAGCCCTGATTGAGCTAGGTCTCACTTGTGACTCAGGAGCTTGCTGTTCTGACCCTCTCTTCAAGATGTCACAACCTGTGAAGTCATTGCCTTCAGTAGGAGTTGGAAGCGAAATCTTCCATTGGGAGCCCCCACCCCCCATGCTCCATGACCCGACTCCTGGGAGTTCTGTTTCCCCTCTGAAGCCCCACCAAGAAGAAGCAAATAGTACAAGCTGAGAAAACAGCTTCATTTTCTCCACCCCTTCTTCTCTGACTGCTTTTCTTAACTGTGTCAAAAATTCCCTTCTGCTTAATTGGTTTATTTTTAAAGCTTTAAGTTGAGTGAAATTATTTAAAGGTAAATGTTGCTTCTTAACAATACCAAGTAGAGTTTCTCAACATGTGTGCAGGTGCTTACATGATCCTAAGTACAAAAATATATTTCTCAGTATTTCTCTTGCCGCTCCAGGAGAGGTAGCTGATGGTGGTAGAAGGGACATGTATAAGTTCATGACATCCCTGCATACTGACTGTGACAGTAGGAGATTGACAGGGCTCTCTGGGAACTTAGGTTCTTCCTCTGTTGGAAAACAGAGAGGTTTGTGTTTTGAGGACATTCAATGAGAGGCATGTAGCCCCACTCCTGGCATGGAGTAGTAAAAGCTATTCACTCTCCTTTCTTTCCATCCACAGAGATTCCAGCCACATTCTTCAAGCCACAACGTGGTGAAATAGCCCCTCTTAAGTTCCACCTTTCTCTCCCTCTGCCCTCTGTTTTCCTTAGTGATCACCTGTGGTCCCCAGGCAGCTGTGACAAACCTGAAGAAACCCACATCCAGTCCTCCATCCCGTCCTTCAGTCCTTCACTGGCTAGGCAGTCTCTGGGGGGAGCCTTAGGGCTCTGCCTGGGCTGGATTTTCCTATTTGGAAGATGGTAGCATCGCTTTCAGAGAGGATGTTTCCTCAGAGCACTGGGTGACACTGTATGAAATGAAAAAGGAATTTAACATCTGGCAAGAATTTACATTTTAAGAAGTGAACATGACAAGTCTGTGAATGTGAAATTTCTCATCTTAATCTTTTGGAGCATGTAATTGCTTTACCACTAGTTTCCCATAATAGGAGAATCTTGTGAGAATGGGTGAAATTGGGTATGTAGCAGCAAAGCAGTGAGCCTGATTGTCCTTATAGACGGCAAATGGGTGACATTTTATACTGACAACAGATTGAAATCCTGTCAGGTTGACAATTAGAGCCCATCTGAAAAAATGCCATTTTGATTACTGCAAATCAAATTTGTCAGGTGCTTTATTTTCAAGTTTAATTTTTAGTTTATCCAACCAAGGATTTCTAATGGGGTTTTAATATCAAATACTAAAATGTCAGCACTGAGTGACCACTGAAATGTTGTCTCCTGGTGACATTGTTGAGTGATAGGCCTTCTATTTAAGAAAATTGGAAATTGAAGTGTCTTAAAGACCAGAAGAGCTGCAGGCATGAGGAGGTGGCACTTGTCAGGGGTCACCCCACTGCCCTTGCAGGGGGTCACTGGTAGTTATGTGTTTTCATTCAGTGCTGGCATCTGGAGATGGCCATTTGGAGAATAAATGCTGTAGATGACCAATACTTAAAGCAACTTCTTTAAAGGTATGTGGTTTGCCTGAGCTCACTGATCTTGGCCCTGACTCATGCACTTGAGTTACTACTCTAAATTTACTTGTTAATTAAACCAGCTCAACCATTAAGAATGAGCCTTAAATAATACTGTTTAAGGTAGCTATGATATAAAGTGCCACAATAGTTTTGTGTGGAGATATGTGTTGATTTTTATTTTCTTGAAAAAACTCTTTGGTGCTGATCAGTTCAGCTGCATGTGGGCTCTAAGACAAGACCTGGGACAGTCACTAACCACCTTCATCTGCTGATTTTTTTCCATGGTAATTAAATTCCTCATCTGGTTATACAAGACACTGCAAAATAAGGGAATTTAGGTTTCCCTCAAATGAAATATTTTTGTTTCTTTGCTAATTGCTTCCCCCCCTTTCCTAAAGGAAATTATATTTATAGGAATTTCAGATGCTGCTTTTTTTTCTATTTTCTACATTTGTCTTACTTGTGGGCTGCATTTCTGGTCTATGTGGCCCATAAGACACAGTTGGTATTGCTTCCTACTGCTATACTTAGGCCTGGTAATGTCAGTACTCATGACAGAGTCTGCTGAAAACAGAATTAAAGATAAAACTTGATAGTATTTTCGTAGCAGTTGAACAGGATAAAGAAATTACTACACCTAAGAAGATAGGAAGACATGCAGTCCTCTCTAATGAATGCCTAGATGCACTTAGATTCTTGGAAGAGTATGGTGGACAGTCTACCTCTTTTATAAACCAGCTGGTTCAACAGGATGAAGACAGTTTTTTTGTTTGATGTGTTTAGGGATTTTTGATCTGCAAATCACTTTGCTCTTGCGAGCTGTACAGATTATATTATCTCCATTCCCCCTATCTTAATTCTGTTGTCTTTATCATTTTTTATACTCCCAAATATAATACCAGCCTCCTCTATCTAGATCACAGATGGAAATCCTGTGTGCCTATATCAGGGGAGGCTGATTTCACTCACCATAATATGCACTCTGCTTAAGAAAGTTTAAATCTCTGTGTGGGTACCATTATGACACTAGGAACTGAATGAGAACAAAAGATCCACAGGCATCAGAAGCCTGTTTGACATTTACAACTAGACCTTGACACTCTTAGGGGCTAGTCTTATTCTCACAGGTGGGTCACGGTGCCTTCTGTT